TGAAAGGAATCGTTTTAGCCAGTAATTTTCAAAAGATCGTGCGCGTTGAAAAGGCGAAGAGGAAACGAGCGGGTGGGTGGACTTTTCACCGATCGTTTCCGTCGCGAGGGGAGCGGAATATCGCGCTCGATGGACGGTGGACCTTCCTGGCAATAACGACGACGATCTCTTCTTCGCGGAGGAAAAGCCCGTGCCACGAAAATACCGCTTCCGGTTGCCCTAGATTCCGCATTCACAAGTTTCATTGCAGCGGCCGGCACGGGAGCGAATCCCGTTCAAAGCGGTCCATAATTTATGTATCCCTGCGGCCACCCCTGCGCGTCGACGAATTCCTGGGCTTCACTCTTTTAAAATTCCATTAAGAGTGCAGGCAGGCGCTCTTTTTGTCGTTTCTCTCCTCGTTGTTTCCACCTGCATATTTCACGCGTCGGGGATACGTTCGCCGTTCGGGTCCAACGGATCGATTTCGTTCAAAATATTTTTCTTTCCACCCCTCCTCCCCCTTTTGGTTCGCTTTTATTTATCCCGTCGAGGACATCGATCTCGACGTATCGTTCCCGGGGCGAACGTCGCGCCCTCCGTTGATCCAGGCATCGTCGTGGCGGCTTGTATTAAAGCCACTGTTGGTTCGGCCGTCGTCGTAATTTTAGACAGTGCCACAGTGACAGTCTTTATAACGCACGTGAAGTATGAACCACTTCCGGTGGATCTACGTCATCCTGCATGTCCCCTTGCACTCCAGTAGCTCCGATTCTAAATCTAGATTCAAATTTCCGTGGCCTTTAGCCTTCGTCTTTCGTTACCCAGCTACCCGTTCGCGACAAAAGACCGCCGGACGAGTTATTAAGGGGTCTGCTCCCGAGCCCTAATAATTGGCTGATATTTTCAGCCCTTTTTGTCTCCGGACGTGACTATCGAACCTGACGACTTTCAGTGGAATTTTGTCCACCAAAAATGTACTTTTAGCCGTAGTCAGAACGCAAAGAAAATTTAATATCGATCTATCGTTCGATCCGGCTCCGAGAGGTCTCTTTCTCGAGCCAATAGACACCGGTTTCGGTTTCTATCGCAACAGCGACGGAGATAACCGGCAGAAGAGCGATTATGGGGGTAGGTATGTTTCGGTAATTGCTTGGCTAAGTTTAGGCGGTGCAGTTGGCGTCAATGCGCGGATGCATATTCAGAACGGGGCTCCTCATATTCTTATGCTCTCGCTTACTGAACCGCGGCGTCGCGTGTGGATGTGAATGTGAATGGAACTTGCTGGCAGCCCGCCTGTTTATATTTAGCCACTGTGGGCGGTGTATAGCTGTCATGGATACGTATCATCGGCATAACTGAACTTTGCAAATGAATAATGAAGTTCCATTGGCTCCCCCGGCTATGCCCGATTATTATTATAGCGGCCAGTTAGAATGGTTCCCGAAACAGCACCCGGCCCGTTTATTGTCCTCCGCGGAGACGTTGTTCGCGTTCCTCGAGGCACCGTGCCCAAAGGCCCGACGATTCTGTTAATGAACGCGCGCCGCCATTCTTCCCGGACGATAAAAATGTCCTCCTCGTCGAACGAACGTGCCTACCACCTCGGTACCACCCTACATACTATTTGCATACGTTGCCCCCCTCCTTCGAAAATATTTTATACACCCTTGGATCTTTATGGAAATAAAATCTCTATGGAATAAGAGTTACGAACAATTGTTAGAGTGGATCGAATTAAGTTGGAAGCGTGCGTACGTTGACAAGGTGGTGACAGTAGGAAAAGTGTGGTAAGATAAAGGCTTTGGCACTACGTTTAAACGGTGCATAGATTACAAAATTTCGTGCACCAAGTGGAAGGAAATTATAGTAGAACACGAACGCGTAGGAGTACTTAGGAAGCACGAAACTCGGACGTACGGTTGCACTGGAATTGATATATGCGATTGGTAACGAGTGGAATGGGCATTAATAGAGTGGTGCGAATCAGATCGTAGAGCTATGGTGTGCCAGAGACATGGATATTATTATTATCAACACCAGCGGGGAAAGCAATCCACTGAATTATCGTAGGAGTTTGCAGATACGGAGATACGATTAATTGGAGTTGTAGGAACGTAGGTTTATAATTATGATCAGAATTAGATAATGGATGACCCGTCATACGCGCTATAAAGAATCATGTTTATTCAGCAAACAAAAAGTATTTCTTCTTTACCCTTTTCGATCGTTATCCTTGAGTTACATAGTAAACAACCTTTCGTTAACGATTTTTTGTATAGAAATTTTTTACGATAATTGTTGTTTTATACTAATATATCTTTTAAAAAGCTTAATCCGGAGAGATCAATAAGGATCATTAGGAATAAAATGTCCATATTTATGTAAAAATATTATTTTCATTTTCAATGCAACGTTCGCAGACGAAAAAAAACGAACTTCGTTTATTTTAAACATCGAAACGTACTTCAGATTTCCACGTCGCGATGTATGTGGACGCGGGAGCAAAGAAAATGACAGCGATCGATGGGAATAAAAAACAATTAATTACCAGGTTCTCGTCGCGATCTTTACAAAGTTATCGTAATCTTTCGTTTCTTATGCGCGCAACGACCAAGATCGCGGCAATTAGAATCGGCGAGGATAATTAACGCTAACGGGGTACATTTCCATACAGAGTCTCCTTAATATGCGAGTCTATCTGATACGGGCATCGCTTATCGCGTTGTTTGAACGTTCCGAGGAAAATGTCGGCCGAACAATGCCGTTTGAATCGAAGGATATCGATTGTCTTAATTTATTATTCCTACGTGCGTGTTATTGTCTTTGGTTTTTTCGCTGGGGCCTGTTACATATATGGAGTGGCAGGTTGTTTATGGAAAGAAAGGCGCGACAAAGCGGGAATAGGATGTAGGACACAGGCAATAACAATCGACACAGTGTACTTTATCGTATAATTTTATTCAAACGAATTTTTTGACAAATAAATAGCTCGTGGTTTTATTAGGTTAGTGGTTAGATCTGGCCTGATTATCATCGCCGTCATCATCATCATCATCATCATTACGGTGGTTATTTAAAAAAGAGCTGGAAATCAGGTTGTTGCCTTGCGATTTGCTGTAACGGGGGGACAAATATCGAGCAAGTAGCGGCGCACTTTCTCGTTCTCTTTTCACCAGGAACCCGTTATTAGACGAAACCGCGTGCAGACCGTAAATCACGCGTCGCGATCTTCCATCGAGCGTCGGGGATTAATAATCGCGCGCGCGGAAAGGCCCGCGAAGGGGCGAGGAGGGGGGTACGGCGTGCGTGTCGAATATCGTGCGTGTGCGTGACGTTTCAGCCGGTGGCCAGGCTGGATGAATAAACGTCTTCCTTATCGTCTAAAATAGACTTTAAACTTCAAGCGTATCTGGACCGCGGCCAGGTCGTAGGAAAGTACAATGATATTAGCCATGTTGAATTGTTACGCTATCCACGGGGACTCGAGGCGCGTTGAAAACCTGTCCCCTTGAATTAATAGGCGGCCGACTATGCGCCGTAACTAATGGACATGGCTGGAAAAGAAATACCGTGCCGTGGAATTCGCAGCATCCGACGACCACCTTCACCCCTTCTGCCAGCGATGGGCGTGGACCGTCGTTCCAATTTTCGGTCGAAAGGGTCAGCCCGTGCACACCTTGACATCCTAATCGTCGCACGATACTCTCTCTAACCGTACCTTCGAATTCGATCGTCCAGATCCGCCTCGTTCGCGTATCTATGATTATTGTTACGTAATAAGCGGAGATTCATAAACATCGCCTCTGATTAGGATAGAATACTTTTTCACGCGCATTGAATGCAAATCGAACAACACCATGTTTTATTCCATTTTGTTCCACCGGTTCGGACGATTATCGCCGGAGCGTGGGTACTTTGCTAACGAGGAAATTAACGCGTGCAAACACGCGAATCGCGACGGAATCCTCATAACTACGAGCAACACGCGTCGTTCCGCACTATCTGTATTGCATAAGCGTGGTCGGAAGTTTCGAGATTTTCGTACGATCTCGTAAACAATGCTCCGAATCGTCGAACGATATGTATCGAAGACGACGGAAGGTGATCCAAACGCCACGTACGTCGTTAGTTAAGTATTTAATATTCTCAACGAGTAATGGACAAATATTTATCTGTCGTTATTCGAAATTTGTGTTCGGATAAGTATTTCCCCTGAATGGCAAGTCACCGTTAACATCGGGGAATACATCGCGAGTTTATTGCGCGGTCAAGGGAGTGATTTAAAACCCGCTTTAAAGGCGACGAGAGTTCTTTCTTGCCGGCGTTATCACTTTATAGCAATTACGTTTGTTTTTGTATCTCACTTTCCCCGTTGAAACGGCTTCCGTTCGACGCGCTAAAACCGGCAATTAAAGTTAATATCGGCGCTCATTCACCTTTTATTACACTTTCTTGGAAGCCATTGCTCGGAACAGGTTCTCGGGATTGGTATTCATGAAACTCTATTTATTACTATTATTTGGCCGGAAAGTAAACAGTAATTACGACCGAGCCTCGCTCGTTGCGTGTATTCACCGTCTTAAGGGGTTAAATCCGCTCGAAGCGGTAAATAATATAATGAAAATTCCGATTGCGAATGAGTCTCCAACGAGCGTGATTTTATATCTCAATTAAACGGAAGGGAGAAGGAATCGCGCGAGAGAAAAAAAGGATAATCGCGTTTGATTCGCGAAAACGAGTGACCGCGGGTAAGGATTGAACGTTCCACCTCGAACTTTAAAAGAAACTACTGCTTTTCTTAACCCTTTACAGAATTAATTTCCCTTCAATCCCGACAAATTTTATCAACCGTTAAACGACGGGGAAATTATCGGGGAAACGTTTAAAAGGTTATTCCTTCGCAAAGTTTCTCGGTGTCCAATTCATTGCTACCGTCGTGACAAAAACTAACAATATTATATAACCGAAGAAAGGAAGGATTCTTGCCGTGAGTCTAATTGCTCGTTCGTGATTTGCAGACGTATCCTGCGCACATGACCGTCGACTCGCAGAAGCAAATCGAGATACAGCGGCTGCAAACGGAGCACTTGAAGCGGCAGCAAGAGCACATCATGCAGCACAACATCCAGGAGCTGCAGGCTCAGATGACAAAGAGCCAGCTGAGCATGTCGGGGCCGCAATCCTTGATGTTCCTGCCGTTTCTCGAACAGCTCAGAGGGGTGGCCGTGCAATCGCCAATGCCGCCACCGTCCGCCACGTCGACCGCCACCACCAACAAACATATCAATTCGATCGCCAATGTACGTAAACCATCGCCAATCTCGATACTCCCCTCCCCCCTCGTCAATGGGTCCGATGTTTCTTCGCGTTCGAGGTAGACTTGCGAATCGTGGAACGATGTTACAGATGATCAGCAGCCATCGGGAGGGTCCAAGCTGGGCGACGGCGCATCTGGCGCAGATGACCACGCAGATGGAGAAAGAGACGTCGCCGACGCCGATCTCCTCGGCTGTCGCGCCCACCGCGCCTCCTCTTCAGGACCTCGACGCGCCCCTGAACCTCACCAAGCCGAAATCCTCGTCCTCGGGGGCCACGGCGTCCTCCTCCTCGCCCGGAAGCGACTCCCACTCGACAGGGGCCGGAAGCAGCGGACATCAGGAGCAACCCTTGGCAGCGACCGCGCCGAAACTCTTCCCGCCCGGGCTACCGATGCCACGGAATTATTTGACGACGCTTCCGTACGCTGGTTTGCCACCCCACCTCAGCAGCCTATCCTCTCCGAGTAAGTAGAACTACGTCAAAGTCCCGTCGTTCGTTTATTTTGAATTTATTCGGTTTTTGCAAGCAAGGAATCAAAAATCTTTTGTTCGTGCGATAAGTAGCGGTTCACTACAATGTAGAAGAACGCGACGTTCAAATGACGTCGAGCACGAAATACATACACACGTACCTTGAGCGTGCATAAATAAGAATCAAGTATATGCAAAATTATATTAGAATAACAGATGACGACGGATGACATACAGTGATTTATCCCTGACGGTTATACGAGTCAGTGGTCATTTATTCTACGATTACAATTTGTAATTTGAATTTAAATAACAAAGTATTCAAAGTATTCCATTTTCATTACATTTTTAAACAGTATCGGTGACTGCAAATTTATTTAATATCGACGCTACGTTATCTCAACTTTCAATAAATTAAAGTTTGCAGGGTATTAGAATAGATTTTAGCAGAAAACTAGTCTAAAACAGGGCATCGTTGGTGAATGAGTGAACCGGTTCGTTCGATGGCCACGCAGTTCGCGATAATTTCCAATAATCCAGAGCACGCGATCGCGATATGGGAATACCTATCGGGCGAACGGAATCGGAATATCGTTGTCCAATTTGCGGGTACCCCCGTAAGCCGGTCGCAATTTACCCCAGGGTTCTACGCTTTTGAGACCAACGAGCCTTTTCGGGCGACGCGGGACGCCGAAGGCCATCGAAAAATACAATCAATAGCCCATAGAATACGCGGGGACGAGATATCTGAAACGAACGGTTAATTATCTTCGACTATGCGCGCCTTCGGCCGATTGTTCGATACGTTTTTTTCGTTTCTTTGTCAGGGAAACCCGTTCTCCTTTGCGTTCGCGTTTTTGCTTCTGGCTTATAAGCGCACAATCAACGACGCGTAACGCGATTCCAAGATATGAGACCGCCGGTGCCCGGGGATCGTAGAAAAAAAGAAAGACAAGACCCGCAGAATACCCCCCAACTGTCATTGCAATATCGGAGAGCTCGCGTGATCATCCGTGTCGCCATCGAGACGATGATCTTGTTGCTTTACGAGAAATGTTAAGTCGAGTCGCGTGGAAATAAAATTAGGAAGTCTTGCTACGATCGCTTTATTATACATCAGAGGGTGTTTAAATAAATAGACCATGTAATTAGGTCGTAGAACAATTTTACGAGGAACCGTAGTCGAAGGTAGATCGACATCGCGAGGGTTAAGCGCACCCTTGGTCACGAGTGTTTATCGCGGTTTGTAATCTCGACTGTTTGTTGTTGCAGTGGGCAAGGTGATGGCCAAAGAGGAGGCCGGTGGACCCGGTGGTTCCGCGGCCGCCGCGGCGGTGGCCGCCGTGGAGAAGCACTTCGCGATGCACGGGATTTACGGTCTGCCGCCGAGCGCAGGTGCGATGCCGCCGTCGCCTCAGACTCAACGACCGATCAAGCATTCTGGCTCCCGGGAGGAAGCTGCACAGGAGGAGCAAGACTATCTCTCGACGCCTCACAGTAAATGCGATTCTCTTTACTCTTATTGTCCCCCGGCCGGTGGTTGATCGTTCGAGTCGTCTCGAGTTAACTGTAAACTCGAACCGGACCAGTTCTCTGTACCAGGGGTTCCCAAACTTCCTCCACCGTGCACCAAACTTGCCTCGAGGCTTCCGACGTTCGTGTTCTGTCAATCGGACCTCGAAGCACGTTTCGTGTCCTCCTGTTAGTTTCTCCTATTCTGTACAATATCGTTCTTTGTGCAAGAGATCACGAATGCACGAGGATTTCGTAATTGTTTCGTTTCGTTCGACTCTGTGCGCTCTGGAGATGTCTAAGCGACGGTATTCTGAAATTTCAGTGTGGCGGGAGCAGGGTTACAAGGTACCGGAAGACATAACGGAAAAAGGTAAGCACGTCTTTCGGCTGAATCCAAGTCCGGCTGACGTTACGCTTTTCGTCGAGCGAGCGTCGCTCGATGCTCGCCGGAAATCGGATTCGCTTCTCACGGGGAGCGTCGTCGACGGCTCGGTGTGTCTGACTGTTTCCTTTCTGTCTGTGTTTAGCGAAAATGGTGAGACAGCAGAAAAGGGAGAGCGAGAACAAGCCACATATCAAGCGGCCTATGAACGCGTTCATGGTGTGGGCCAAGGACGAGCGTAGGAAAATATTGAAGGCCTGCCCGGATATGCACAACTCGAACATATCCAAAATCCTCGGTGAGCAAAAATAGTTGGCGGTCATCTTGGTCCATCGAGTATCGCAGTCTCGAAAGTTTTAATCGACTCGAGAAACAGAAAGGAGATTTTAAAACCGAATACTTCGGGTCAAAGTTACAGATAAGCTAATCTGGATTAACGATTCTCTCGATTTTTGTCAAACGAATTAACGATTTATCTCGAACCATTTAAATCAGAAACTAACTGTGAAAAATAGGCGTTACAGGGGGCTATCTTCCGCACGAAACGAGTGTTTATCTTTGGCGATACTCCAGTTCTAATAAATAGAAGCTCTTAGGCTCTGGTCCCAGTTGACGTATCTAACGATTTGTTTCCAGGAGCTCGATGGAAGTCGATGTCAAACTCCGAGAAGCAGCCGTACTACGAGGAACAGTCGCGGCTGTCGAAGCTGCACATGGAGAAGCACCCGGACTACAGGTACCGGCCGCGGCCGAAGCGAACGTGCATCGTGGACGGGAAGAAGATGCGGATCTCCGAGTACAAGTCGCTGATGCGGCAACGGAGGCAGGAAATGAGGCAGCTCTGGTGTCGCGACAGCGGCCCGGAGATGGGTTTCCTGTCGCCGGTGGGTTCCGAGATGGGCGGTCAACACCATCCTGGGTCGGGGGCAGGACCGTCGGGTCGTCCGTCGGTCTCGCCCCCGGCGACGATGTTGAACGGCGGCGGCGCCGGGCCTAGCTCCGATCACTCGTCCTTCTACTATCCCCAGGACAGTCTGTCGCCGTCGGACATGATGAACTTCTCCCCGGAGAACTCGGGTTCGATCGGTGGCTACGACGCCAGTCCGCGGCATCACGACGAGGATTGAACCGTGGCTCCGGGTCAGCCGCCATGGCCGCCCGGAGCATCATCCTCAGCGGCAGCAGCCGCAGCAGCAGCAGCGTCAACGTCGCGACTCGGTCACGAGTTGTTCTGGTAACTGGAGGCGGCGTCCTCGAGGTTCCCGAGCGGTCCAAGATCTCGGGAACGGTTTTGAGGCGAGAACGAGGAAGGGAACGCGGCCCGGGGCCGCGCAAGCCGCGATCGTTTCCACGCGCTGAACGGTGAAAAAAAAACTCGTCGAGGAAGAACGTTCAGTCTCGGAGTTGGACCGAGAGCGTTTACGAAAGCCTCGCTCGAGAGGTTGTGATATAACGATTTATTTCTGTGCCATCGTACGACGCGCGGTTAGAGGCCCCGCCGCGAATTGGAGCGGCGAGTCCTCCTTCCTGGATCCGCCGTCGTGTCGCCCGACGTCCCATCGCCGCGATCCGGTGACCGCGAAGGCGTCCTTCTCGTGTCGCGCCCGAAGCCACGGGGGGACGTGTGTGTTGGTGGCCACCCTCCCCGCGTTATCCGAGGCTGGGTTGCACGGGACACCGGGGAACGTGAGATCACGAACGGGAGGATAACGCGCTCATGCTGTCGCGAGAGAAAAGGAAGACGCGGTGGCAGCGCCGGCAGCAGCAGCAGCAGCAGCAGCGGGGTAAGGGGACGTTCCGAGCGGGCAGGGACACACGGTGTATTCTGTTCTTCTGTGTAATCAAAATTTGCGACCAAGGCGGCGAAATCCGCCGAACGATAAGGTCTGATGTCGCGTGGTTAGGTAACGTGTTCCGAGTACGGGACGCGCGCGAGGGTATTCGCGACGGCGTCGATCGGTTCGATCGGTCTCGCCGGTGTTTGTCCGAACGGAGCTCGAAGCGTACGCGAGTATAGAATTATACATAAATAAATAAATAAATAAATAAATAAAAAAATATATATATACACACATTATATATATACACATACCTGATTTTTCGTAAGACTGCCATGTGTGTCACGTGCGCGCGCGGAAGGATCGATTCGATTGCAGTCTCCCGCCGATGCTCGATCGGACACGTTCGATCGCGAGACGATCGTGACACGTAATGTATGCACGTGCGTGCGAGATACGGTGCGCGGCCAAAAAAGTCTTGTTCCTATTCCTTCTAGTGTGTGTGTCTGCCTGTGTGTGCGTGTGCGTGTGTCCAACGATACCGCCATTCCGGTCGGCCGTGTCGAATAGATGAGAAACAAAGATAAACGTGAAAGGAAGAGAGCGAGAGCGAGAACGAGAGAGAGAGAGAGAGAGTGAGAGAGAGAGAGAGAGAAATAAGCAAAAAGAAAACGCTGATCCGTTCTATCGCATCTCGCGGCATCGCGCGCGTTAGATCGTCCAATCCAGCGTCCCGCACGGCGGACGGTCCTTTTTCCCGTATTACACGCAATCGCTATATCCGGTATTCGCACGAGGACCGGCGGACAGAGAGCGAGAGGAGGCAGGTGGAGTTGCTGTCGCGCGATTCACCTGCACGTCAAGGTAACCACGTTCGTTCGATCTAAAATCACTTAATAGTACTTATAGTATTTTCGACATTAATTTATTCACCCTAATCGTAACGACGGTTACGGTCGGATGGAAGTCAACGGGTCGCTCGAAACCACCGACGGAGATTAACTCCCGCCCGTTCCATCGATTTATAGTCGCTGGAACAAATATCGGAATCGCGCGAAAACTACAGGGCCGCCAGTAATTTCAGGGTCGAAACGGAGAGATGGTTTTTGGCCGCTGGAACGTTTAACAGCTCTGGGCGTCCCAAAACGAGCGTGGCTCTCGAACAACAAACCGTTACCCTGTTCGAAGGAACCCATTTAGCGCGCTTGTATCCAACGAGGCTTCACAGACTTCTCAAAGAGTTCAAAAGATCCCTGTGTTTGGTCCATCGACTATACATGACGCGATTCGCGATGGGGGGCTGGTGGCCTCTGTGGACTTCCGGTTGAGTTCGCTCCGACTATAGCCGGGACAGAGTTGAAATAGTCGAGACTAGTGATGGGACTGAGACGCGTTTGAATACTGTCGAAACATCGACGTTGGAAATCAATTACCCTGTATCGAACCATCGAAAGAAACGATCGCAAACGATTGTTAGACCTGTCGGAACTATGCGAGTATCGGTACGTACCAATTATTGCGAGTCTGATACCTGTTTACGATTCCTATCAGAAATAAAGAGACGGTGATGTGTCCAACGCCAAACCGACCAATTATAAATATGTCTGCACTTGTCACTCCTCTTCTGCTCGTCCACAATACCACACTGATTTCACGCATCACATGAATATCATGCAAACATCACACGCATCATACATACAGAATAAAAATATCACGTATGCTCTAATAAACTTTTACTCTTTCCAGCTGAAATATTTGATACAAAACGATCATCCAGGTGAACGTTCATTCGAAATTATTCTAATAGTGTCCAACTGTGATATTATACCAGGCTACATCGTAAACGAGCACATCTCACCGATATCGATGACTACTTATTTCCGACGCAATGCCTGAAAATTGATGGCGTATCGATATTAATGAGTATGTCGCTGGATTGGTTCCATCACTAGTCGAGACGGCGCGAGTACACTTCATTCAAACGATTCTATCCGTATGTTTACATGTTTTATAGCTTGGCGCGTCAATGCTGTTATAGTTTAATTTCTTAGCGAAATAAATCAGAGATTTACTTTAGTTCTAGCATAAAATTATGAACTTATGGTTAGAAACAACATAAATAAGCCAGCAGACGAAGCGATCTTGTAATTATAAACTCGGATTCTTTTTAAACGGCTAATAATCAAATTATTTATTTAATTTCAATTCTTTTGCTTATTTGTTACACTACGATCGCTTACGCGTCGTTTTAATGGCGATGTAGCAATCCCAAACTACTTCAAATTACTGCGTCCGTGCAGTAACAATTTGCAGACTTCCGATTGGTAGAACGCGCGTGACTAATTAAATTCTACCGATCGAAAGAATCGATTCACGCGTGTCTATAGTGTCGCGGGTAGATTCGTTCGAACAAAGTGTACAAGGGCGGCGGATGAAACACGACAAAGAGAATATTCAAAAGAGAAGCAGAATGCAAAGAGACGAATCGAGGTATAGTAACGAAAAGAGGGGTAGGGAACGGGAAGAGTTGTGTAGGGGCACGCGCGGCGTCAGTTTTTAGTACAATGTTACTGTATAAAATTACGGCGAAGAATTAACGTTATTTATTGAAACGACGTGCGAACGAAACGATGAAATTCTAACGAGACGTTATGTTTGTTTTCGATGTCTGGAACACGCTGTTACGTTTTTTCCACATTTTTTCAAGTTGCGTTCGCGACCAACCCGGAGAGGGGTCGAAGCTAACTTTGTTTACCGTGTTGGCTCGGTGCTGAGGGAAAAGGGAGTCGGACGAGCACCGATCGAAATAGCAATTATAGCCAGTCAGAATATTATTGGCACAGGTAAAAACAACAACAGCAACGCGTGAATTAAGAAGTCAATAAAAGATGATTCGTTTTTTTTTATCGAAAGGTAGATAGCTTTGATCCTTAATTAACGGAGCCATAAAATAAATCGTAATGATTCCTTGCATAATTTCACACCCTGACAATTAGTCATCCTAGTAGCTCTATCAAAGTGTTGTCCGTGCCAATAGCATTTTGACTCGTTGTAGCTAGGCGTATATAATGTCTCGTGGTTCGAGAAACGTATCGAAAAACCGGACGGCAAAGATTGGGAGCTCGATGTGATAATATTTATGTGCCAAATAACGTTTTCGCGGGCCGGGGGGGTCCGAGGACGGTTCGCGTGGCCCATCCGGTTCCGGGTCGCGGCGGAAGTTGGCTCGACGTGAAACACGATAATTTTTGCGTCTCTCCTTTTTCACCGTTTTTTTTTTTTTTTTTTTTTTGTTTGTTATTTATATTGTAATCAGTGCAATTCTATACAAGGTACCTAATATAATTTTATAAAGAGAGCCAGTATCCTCGATGCGTCTGCGCCCGTGTTTCGGGCCGGTCGGTTAAAATACCGCGGCCGGCGGCAGATAGGATAGCTTAATGTTGATATAATAATTTATTTTATGTATATACATGGATTTGTACAATTGTGTCGGCGGTATTCATCGATCAGAACGGCCCGATGCAAGAACATGTCAATACTATTAATGTACAGTGTAACTATATTGTGATGTATCCGCGTAGCTACATATATAATGTAATTACCCCGAGGACACCGTAGGTTTAACGATGTTAAAATGCGATCGCATATTCTTATTTTCATCGTCATTATTACGTCTATTAACTAGCATTAATATTATTAATTATTAATATTACCGTCTTCAATTTTATTTAGTACTATTATTACTATTACTATTATTTCTCTTTTCTTTTATTATCATTATTACGCATAGCAATAGAGGTTGTACGTGCCAGTTCAGACCGCGACGACGATGACACGAAAGCTCGTTGATCGTGTGCGTGTGCTCGAATACTCAAATTTCAACGTCGCGTCGTTCGCGACGACACGCGATCGAACACTATTTCATTCACGTTCACATTGTGTTCGACCGACACTCGAAACGCGTTTCCGACGCGCATTTGGAAAATTGAAACCTTTCGTTGACAAATTCCTGCGTCTCTGCAAAAATGAATTTCTTACGTTTTGTTTTCCACTTTCCTTTTTCGCCAGTTTTACCCCCAAAGATTGGTCTTATTCGTCCCACGAGGGAAATAATGACGATAAATTAATCGCGGTTTGGCCGAGGAAAGAATCGACTCGAAAGAATTCCTCCTTCACCGTACTTTATTAATTGGCCGCTGAATGTTGCTCAAACCTATCCCCATTATACAATTTGACATCGCTCTAAAATACATCGAATATGTTATAATTTGTACAATGACCATTATCTTTTCACGTAAATAAATAACGACGTTTACAACACCATTGCTATAATTCGAGGTATCTGGAACAGTAGAAGTCGATTGTCGATTCTTTCTTCGGCTAGACGTAAATATTTCGAGCGAAAGATACGTATATCGTTTCCTATTGTGCCATATTTTTATAATCTTCGAAAAACAATTTGCTCTTCTCCAGTCCCTTCTATTTTTCTCTTTCTTCTTTCTTTCAAATTCATTAAAACATTACGAATCGCGTACGTAGTTAGGCTCGGCTCGTGTCTCCCTCGTTGAATTTCTCATCCGTTTCAAATTACCCCGCGCAGTGTTTGCTTTAAGAATAATTTCAGTTCTGCATTCCATGGATCGTTGTCCCGTGAATATCGAAACGATGGATCGTCGGTTATTTCGTCTTTTATTTTCTGTTTTTTTTCTTTTTTTTTTTACCTTTACTTTCGTAGAAGCGGAACGTTTCGCGATAATTCTCGACGCACTCGCTGTGTAAGTTGATCGGCCCTTAAAACGCAACCAGCGCGAATGCGAACTGTAAGAATAGTAAATTGTAAAACGAATACATTAACTAATATTATAGTATATTTAACGTAACAAGCAAAAAAAAAAAAAAGGTGAACACTAACATCCAATCTCAATATTCCAAGAATTCACTTCATTTACATGTACGTTGTTGTTAATGGTATGAACATATAATAAAATAACGCTTTACCGAAATTCAATCTTAGTTTTAGGTATACAACGTTATTTCTAGAAGAAACTTGTATGTACGTGCAGTGTACATAGTTATCCAGTACTGTGAAAATGAGAGGAGCGTGCGTGCGTGTGCGAAAGAAAGAGGGAGTATAAAATCAGTCAAATGCATGTTTGAATGCGATTACATTCTCACGATCGTCTTATCACTGCTGGCGACCGACCGTAGTACACGTTATTAATTGGTGTCAATAGCGTACAATCAAAAAATATTGTATATTTAAGATCAGTGACCCTTTACTTGTTAACGCTATCTGCTTTGAATTTCCATGGTCGATAAGTATTCGTAAACGAAGCGGTCCGTTCACGTCCCAGTAGTGTTAAGATAAACGTACAAAACGCATATAATAGGAACAAAGGGAAAATCATACTTGGACGTAAAGCATACAACAGTAGCGACGCACCAAAAAAAAAAAAATAATGTTTACAGTCGTAACATTCTGTAACGGGATTAAGTTTCTAGATAATTGTAATAGCATTTGCAGCGTTCGACTTATTTACCGATCCATAAGGCACCTTGAGCTGGCTGTGATTCATAACTCTAACGATTTTGTTTCTAATCAACTAACATACATTGTTCATATCGCGTAGATCAAAATGTATAATTATACAAAAAGTGTCTGTCAACGATGCAACGTTTAAAGGTGTGTATTCCAAGATCATTTTCCCTAATAGATAGTGACATCAAATGCACTGTATCACATAGAGAGCAGCACTATTATAAACATAGATATATGATTATATTTATTATAATAATTTGAAAGTTAGGTATTCTTTGTTGTTTGTATTTTACAAGCGTAACCATTATTATACATAAATAAATAACTATATAAATGAATGAAACTTCACGTATTAATATGTTCATTCGAATGTCCCGCGAAATAGGTAGCGAGATTGCAGTTCATTAACCCTCCGGCAGGCGCGCTTTTTATCGTGGATCGAGCGCCCTTTTCGTACTCCGTACGCGCAGTGTTTGATATTACTTAACTTTAACTTTTGTGTCAAATAAATAGAAAAATCTTCAAACAAGCAATAGAAAAAGGCCCGAAGCCGATCCGGTCGCGCGAAGAAAAGTTTTTGGCGAAAAACTAAGTCGCGAATGTAAATCGTGTACTCTATACGCGGGGGCGCCCAACGGAGGGTTAAATACAAATTGCGGAACATCTACGGGCGACTTTGAAGTAAAGAAGAAAGAAAATAAAACAGGACTAGGAGGGAAGAGGACATAGGGAAGGAAGAAAACTTAGATGTTTTAATTATCAACTCGTAAAATCGGTATGTTGTATTTAAAATATGGGGGAGATTACGATCTCCGTGGCCCCTACGTTGAAGGTTAAATTTGTGTTCTTGGGGTCATTCTAATAAAAAAATATATATGTCACAGGTGTAGAATGGTCGTGGTTTAGCCTGAAAAGTAGATTTATAAAAAACAATTTTTTTCTTAAAATGGGATCACGGAAATCGTAATCGTGCCAAAATATAACTTTATTCAGTGATAGCGTAAATACATCGTTAATAGAAATAAAGTATCGTCTATTTGTAATTCCGTGACGCTCAGTTTCTTGACTGTATTTTGAACTTTTTCCAACTGTTGTTTCTCGGACGGTGTCATTAATTCCGCGATCTGTAAACAATTTGAATACAGTCATTATATAATTGCAAATAATATAATAATTGATATACGCACCTCTGCCAGTTGTTCCTCGGTAGCGCCATGTTCTTTCAAATTACTCGTGAGAGTCTGCATTCGTAATTGTTTATCTATCATTCGTTTATTACTAGTCACTTCGTGCTCTCGCCTTTGCATAGTATTGTACAGTGCATGGTAACAATGTTCTATCTCCATACGAACAACTATGTTCAAATCAATGTGAAACAAAAAGAATGTTTTCATTGGCGTCGCTGACACTCCACCTTTCTTTATTTCTTGCATCTGTAGGTAATTTTCTTGTAATAAAGTGTACGTTAAATATTTGGCTTCCTTGGCGGGAATCATGGCTAACTGTTGAATTTGTTCTTGTTCGATGTATTTTCGATTCCGCACTAACCTGCGTAGGCGGGAGAAAAATCTTGATGTAATTTACAGCGAGTATGATCACACGTGAAAATTTAGAAGTACCTGAAAATTCTAGCCGCTTTCGAACCAAATCGTACCATTACAATATTGTCTAAAGTTGTCCATGCTAATTGATTGAAAGCTCCCTTCATATTTACACTGTACTGACCTCCGCCCGAATCTCCGACTCGTTTTAAAAATTGACTAGTATCTTCCTCTAGAATAATTCACTTATTAAATGCATCAGCCTTTACAATACCTAATCATATTATAAAACCATTTATGGTCCTTACCGATGAGACGTAAATATTGATCAAGGTATTGCATAAGCACTGGATAATCTATCTTTCTAATAGCATCTTTTATCTCTGTAAGAGGTATCGGATTCGATGTACTTGCCCACGATGCTGTTCGTAAATACATAAGAAACAATAATTGTCTCATCAACTCTGCAGCATTTTCATCAAGTCTATTGCGCATAGCTGATACAATAATTTGATCCCTATAGATTACATTGCAACTTCCTTACTTGTCTTAGATTTATTTAAATTTTTATAAATCTTACCTGAGATCTTGCGAAAAACGATCAAAATTTACTTTCCAGTAAATTTTACTGTCACCAAAATCATTACCACTACTCCCCTGGATCTCCTGCATAATTGCACCCAAATTAAGATCTGGTAAATTAAAGTCAGGTTTATCATTGGTTTTTGGCACTTCAGTTGTCTCTGAATGTAAGCTACGCATGAGAAACTGGTTTTTAACTAGTAACTCAAACTTGCCTTTTAACATTGAAACCGATGACTGTAACTCAGCTGTAAATACAAGCAAATTATTAAATCAGTAAAAATTAATTTTTTACACTGTGGCAATACAAGTTACATACAAGGTGATCGTTCAATTCTTTTATATGTTTTCATGATTAATTCAGAAGCTGTTATATATCCATGTTTTAATACTTCTTCCAGCATCATCTCAGCCTCATCTCCACAAATTGTTTTTACAAAGAACATATACCTATTAAAATTAAAATATCTAATATTTAAAATTATCATTTCTCAAGTATAGTTATTATTTATAATACATAAATAATATAATACTTTGGATAACGAAGGATCATTAGGATCTTTTCATAAGCTAAAGAATATTCTATCCCTCTTTCCGTTTGACGATGCGTAACCAAATCGTATTTTATTAAAACGCATAAAGCTTCTTTTATCTAAAAATAAAATTTGAAGCTATAATTTTGCACAGAATTCTTTTAAACCAATAAACAATAAGTTGCATAATTGGTACATACCTTTGACAATGTAAGATGCGTCGTGTGACGAATTAATCCGTACGGTTTCGGACCATGTTTAAATAAATCGTCACCTACACTTTGAACAATTTGCCCAAAATGTTCTAATAAAATACAAGAACACAATTTTCTACATATCAATGACATGCTTGTACTTTATTCACAAATAATTACAATAATAATAAATACAATATTTTCTTGTAGATTTACTAAGATTATTTTTTCCCATAACCTTTCAAAAGGTTACAACGGCAGAGAGATCACTGAGGATTATATTTATATTGTATAAAAGCTGCAACTTCGTTGCATTTATAAAAATTACATTTACAAAATGCACATTGTTAGTTGTTTACAGTTTTATGTCATATATTTTCACGCATTAAAAGAACTTTAAAAATTTATGACATCCATGCGGTTATAGAAAGTATACAAATTTATTTCTATAGTCAGACCAATCGTAGTAAAAGTACATTGTAAATAACGCTTAATGTTATCAATAACTGGAATCCTATTTGTAACATTGGAAACATATTTGCAAGTTTATGCGAAGCAAGAACCGTGCGCTTCATTGAAACAGTGAAAAAAGTTTTGCGGTAAAAGTGGTAAAGGTTTTGTGAGCGTTTCAATGATTCAAATAATGCATCTTGGCTCGTAACGTTTACATTTTCATGGGGATGCTCCATGAGTATCGTTAGTTATCATTACTTGCAAACACGTACTCCATGCAATTCCGAAAAAGGTAAAACCGTCGAACGTATCGAGTAGAACGTAATATAAACGGTAGCGTGCGCAAAGAATGGATCGTTGTTGCTAACGAATTTCAAAAAATTACGATATATTAAAAAGTGCGGCACCGTGAATGTAGAACTTCCGGCGGAACAGCATTGTCGCAGATAATCACGTGATCGAGGATCGACTTCTTCGTTTGTGGCCACGAGGTTTTTGTGGTGAAAATTAAGTTTATCGTGTGGAAAAGGCCCTATATTTTTGTATTTATACAAAAATGCCCTCCAGCAATCCCTTGCCACCCAAAGAAAATGCCTTGTTTAAGCGAATTCTGGTGAGTAACATGCAATCAAAATACTCTGTTTTGGACCCCACTCTCCGGCTAATAGGAGTATTCATCATGCTCTAATGATGAAGCACTCTTCGAAAAACTGCAAAAATTTCACTGGCAATCGTGAATCGGGAATGTATCGCGGACATTGCGAACGAAACCGCGTTTTCGTCGATGTTTCTCGCAATGTTCGACCATACCAGTTCGACCAAGTACACATTACCTATATCCCGAAATATATAGGTATATCGTAACAAATTTTATGCAGTTATCATTAAATAAAGACAGTGCCTCATTCATGAAAACGTTTCATCCTGTAATACGTATTTATGTTTCTTACAGAGATGTTATGAACACAAACAATATAAAAATGGGATAAAGTTTGCAAAGCAAATTTTATCAAACCCTAAATTTAGCGAACATGGAGAGACCTTGGCAATGAAAGGTCTCACTCTAAACTGCTTAGGTCGCAAGGAAGAAGCCTATGATCATGTCCGGCGTGGTCTCAGGAACGATTTGCAGTCTCATGTTTGTTGGCACGTTTATGGACTTCTACAGCGCTCGGATAAAAAATACGATGAAGCCATTAAGTGTTACAGAAATGCCCTTAAGTGGGACAAGGATAACATACAGATTCTTAGGGATTTATCACTGCTTCAAATTCAAATGAGAGATCTGGAGGGTTATAAGGTAAGTGTTTAATTTATGGAGGTTGCTTTTTATTCATAGCATAATATATCACGTGTATCATTATATTTGTGTGTAATAAGTTCACATTAGCTGAGTGATCTTTATGTAACAATGATCATATATAATTTATCATACGTGCAGTAAAGCGCCGATTATCCAAATGTTGATTTTCCGTACAATCAATCATTGGAATACAAAATGAGACATATGTCCATGATATTAAGAACTCTATACTAATACTGTTGTGTTACACTTTGAAATCTGTGTCTATCATTCATAAACAATATTACTAACCTCTGCGATACGTTGTGCCTATGATCTAGGTGTACCAGTTTAGTGTTTTACAAGTTTTAGATGTAAACACATAGTTCAAATTGCACGTTTGAACTATGGTATGAGTAATGGAAGAAAAAGTGAAGTGCTGTAATTGGAAGAGAAGTTAAATATTATTGAATGTTTAAAAGTGGTGAAAGAGTATCTAGTGTAGTTATCAAATGTGTAAAATGTTGGAAAATCAACAATTACCAGAATTAAAAGTAGTGAATCAAAACTATTAGAATTTCAAGATAAGGTAAGTAATAAGCATGCCCAAAAGAGTGTAAAATTAGCAAAAATTGAGAAACTAGACAGTAGGCAATACAGAAATGGATACTCCAGAAATAAAGTGTTGGTATGCAAAAGTACAATAAATATTTTATTAACCCCCCCAGCCGCGGGCGATTTTTCAATTTTACCGCGGCTCTGACAATGTCTCCGACGTCAGTCGAGATTCGACGATCGTAGCGGAAGTATTAGAAGAATTTAAAATAGATTCAATGTAGAAATAGCTATTCCTGATGCCTAAATATCATAAAAATTATAAGCTACGCGATAATAGCGTGCCTGCGGCTGGAGGGTTAAGATAAGCAACAGGAAATAGATGCCAATAAAATAATACAAAGTATAGATATGTCCAAGAATCAGTTTTTCTTGATGGAGTATCTAAATGAATTTGTTTCTCTATTTGTTTTGTTTTGAGATTTATTAACAGATTTTGTAACTGAATTTACGCTGTGGTCGACGAGGAATAGTGCCGTTTTTAAGAATATTATTTATGTTTTAATTTGTATATATTTCCTGCAGACCTGGGGATGAATGGAAAATATTAGTTTAATGTTTCTCAGGTATAAAGGACTGCAACGTGCAAGGTCCTCACAGATTCCGCGCGGCAGATCGCGAAAGCACCTTAAGATTTAGGAAACCATCTTAAATTCCCATTGATATTAAATTATTTCTTCCTACTAAGACTACTAATTACAGCCTCCGAACGGCACTCGCATTTGCGCTCCTTACATATCGAAAAATATTTTCTTTTTCATTTAAAGGAATTCTTATCCACGAACTTTTGCATACAAACGCTCAAACAAGTTTGAATAATCGACGTTTTATTGTATATTATTCGCTATATTCGTTTGTCTGAAGTTTATATTAACACTGTGATTTTGATGTAATGATGATACTGTTTAATATGAGTACTTTGATCAAATGGTATAATAGGTGTATTTTTACAAACAATAGTATAAATATAGTAGATATAATTACACATTTTGTTGTAAATATTTGATATCTAAGTGCAACCAGTGCATCTAGATTCATTTTTTTTTTTTAGGACACAAGATATCAATTATTTATGTTACGCCCCACACAGCGCGCATCATGGATTGGTTTTGCGATCTCATATCATTTGTTAAAGGATTACGAAATGACCCTAAAAATATTAGACACTTTTCGGGATTCTCCTATGGTATGTACTTAGAAAGTAAATATTTCTTTCCGGTGCAACACTTTTCTCTATTTACAAAAAAAAAAAACATGCAAATAATATAATACCTTGTTTCATCTCTGACGAGGATATTAAGAATATAAATTATAGCCATATATTATTTATGATAGTACATAATAGGGGTATTCATAAAATGTGCAGATTTGTTATGATTACGAACATAGTGAGTTGCTGTTATACCAAAACATGGTTATCCAAGAATCAGGGGATTGTGAACAAGCTCTGAAACATCTTGACAAGTATAGTGATCAAATTTGTGATAAAGTTACTGTAAAAGAAACATACGGTACGTTTTTTTAAATTTATATACAGTAGTGCCCACTTAAATGTCCGCGCCCGGGACCGACCGTGGTCGTTTAAGTGGGCAAAAGTGCGGACATTTAAGTGGGCAAAAGTAACTGATTCGTAAAACATATTGAATGCATGCTAAAAAAGTTAGTACAATGTTTTTACAAATTTAACGGTTTCGTATAACAGGTAAATTAAGACTACAATTAAAACAATATGCAGCAGCGGTACAGGTTTATAAGGATCTTTTAAATATAAATCCTGAAAATACAACTTACTATATTAGGCTAGCAGAGGCTGAAAGACACGAAAAACCCGAAGAAACTTTAGCTATGCTCCAAAGATACGAAGAACTGTTTCCTCGAGCGCTAGCACCGCGTCGTTTACAATTAAATTACGCTTCAGGGCCTGAATTTCAAACATTAGTCGATCGGTACTTACGAAGAGGTAATTCGCCTTATTTCGGGCGTGAAAATACGAGACCCGCCGTTGCTTATTTATATTTTATTTTTTTTACTACAGGTCTTCATAAAGGTGTACCACCTCTGTTTGTAAATCTTCGTTCCCTGTATAGCAATCAGCACAAAAGTTTTATTATTCTGACTTTGGTTCTACAATATAAGAAAGCATTGAAGGAACATGGGCATTTTAGCAACGAAGATAAAGATAATCCGCGAGAGCCTGCTTCCGCATTACTGTGGACTTATTACTATTTAGCACAACATTACGATTATCTTGGACTCACGGAAAAAGCACTGAACGAAATCGATGCTGCCATAGAACATACTCCTACTCTTATAGAACTTTTTGTTACCAAAGGTCGCATTTACAAGGTTAGATCCATGTACACGCAATCTAAAATAATTCCTTGGCCACGAAATATTTTCACGTGTACGTTTTCTCTTATCAGCACGCCGGTAATGTTCAAGAAGCTTACAAGTGGTTGGACGAAGCACAAGACTTAGATACCGCGGATCGATATATCAACTCGAAATGTGCCAAGTATATGTTGCGCGCGAATCTTATCAAGGAAGCGGAAAAGACATGCGAGAAGTTTACGAGAGAGGGTGTCCTAGCTATGGAAAATCTAAACGAAATGCAGTGCATGTGGATTCAAACGGAAGCCGCCAATGCTTACCAACGTCTTGGGAAATACGGAGAAGCGTTGAAGAAATGCCACGAAGTCGATAGGGTGAGTTGCGGACCGTATTATTTCCGAGTAACAACACACACCGTAACATATTTTTAAACGCGGTCCCATCGGTTACAGCATTTTTCCGAAATCATTGAAGATCAATTCGACTTTCATACTTACTGTATGAGAAAGATGACTTTAAGATCATACGTGGGTCTTTTAAGGTTAGAGGATGTGCTTCGAGCTCACCCATTTTATTTCAAAGCAGCGAAATGTGCAATGGAAGTTTACTTACGGCTGCACGACAATCCTTTGCCCGATCCAACGCAGGCGCAAGAAATCGACACTGGTGAGTCTGCATACTATCTCTTATTTTCATCGTTCGATATATCGATCGATATATCACATAGACGCGTAGAGTGTACATCGCAGCAGCACTCGCGATTTTGCAATATTAGAAATCGATATATTATTTACGGAAAATCGGTTCTTGATCAGATTATTAAAAAATGTGTTCAAGAACTTACCTTTCACTGAGCAACTTACAAAAGGATCTGTAGACATTTTTCGAAATTTATTTTATTTTCAAATTTAAATAACTGATCTTTCAGGGATAGTTTGCCATTACATTGGAAGTCACGCATCTTTAAAAAAGATTCAGCTTTTATAAAACTAGTTTAATTTTATAATAACAGTACCGGCTATTAAATAACGTCTTACATGTTTAATAGAGCATTACAGTTTTTTACGCGTATATTTACACTAATTTACTTGAATGGTTTTATAACGAACAGTAATATAATTTCATAATTGATATAATGTACGCAATAGCAGCAGAGAATTAACACAACGTGGTGTTGAGAATCGCTACCAACGATATTACATTCGAGTTTCAGTATTCCTAATTCTAAGTCTCTCAATGGGATATGTTTACAATGTTAACCCTTTTTGCGATTTATTCCGTTGAACGAAAGAAGGCTATTCTCGTTGCTCGTTGAAACCAACATGTTCACTATCTTTTCTGATCATTATGCATCGTGGTTTTTTGCGACACGGCTATGAATCTGAATCAATACCGATACATAATATTCTTACTGCTTGTAATCCACTATTCCAAACGTTATATCGTTAACCTAAAGTAGTGGGAGAAGCTTCGGTGGCTTCGAGCGGCCAATCAATCTCGAGGCCTCTGCACAGAAAGGGTTAAACGCTATCTCTCAAGAAATTTAACGCTTGAAAACGATCTTTGCTCCATGCTCATCGAACGACTCCGTTACATATCGCCTCGACGGCCCACAAAAAATGTCCGTTCGCGCAACCTACGATCGACTACTTATCGCTATCGTTAATCATTAACTATGTACATGTACGCGTTCACCTCGACCATTAATCACAGACAAATGCGCGAGTACGCGACGGAGTATCGCTCAAAATCGCGCAACACGCCTATCGTGTATACGCGAACGAGTATCTCGCGTCTGCATCGGTAATCTGTAGCAGGAGGGGTAGTTAGGGTCGCATATAAATTAAGCATTTATACCGCAAGCAAGGCGTTGACAATCGTCCTATCCTAGTCTCGTTACGTATATATATTTACACGTGTAATAAATATCCTAACGGTACGTCTCTCTATTTCTCTCGTGGGATCCTCGATCGTTATATGGCATGGGAGGATCAAACGTTTCCCGGTCGCCGTCGACGTCTCAGCAGTCTCGTTCCCCTCGATTTCGTGTAGAGATGACCAGTGTTCCGTTCTGGCCTCTGGTCGACCGCTTGCGGCGTCAGGAAATAAAAATGGCCACCGTCTCCGGGCAGTCTGTACGCGAAGTAGGCCTTCGGTTTACCCGGTTGGCTGTCCTCCGGCACCGGAAGTGGATCGATGAACTCCGCGTCCGGATCGATGGTGGGTCTTGGGTCGCGGTAGTTCACTTTGATGTCGTCTTCGAGGGAGATCGGTAGCTGGGGATACGACTCGTCGATCTCCTCGGGAGAGTCGGCTATCGGTACGTAGTTAGTCGACGGACCGTTCGCCGGGCTGACGAGAGGCTGGGGCGAGTAGGCGCGAAGCGACGCCAGAGGTTCTCCGTTTCGATCGGATATCCTGTAATTGGGCGGCTGTTGCCGATTAGGGTTGCCCAACGTGATGAACTCGCTGTCCGGGTCGATGGGCGGCAGAGGCTGTCTGTAGTTGACGAGAATGTCGTCTTTGAGAGAATACGGTCGCTGGGACTGATCGCCGTAGTGCACTTTGACGTTGGGCGTCTTGAAGACCGGCGCCTCGGCGGTGTTGTAGTTGTTCTCGATGTATCTGTTGGTGTTGTAATCCGGTCTCTCCGTGGTCGATTTCGAGTAGATCGGAGTGGTGCTCGGCACAGCTTTGTGCGGCAGTTTCTTGCCGAAGATCGTGAAGTACTCTTTCGTGACGTCGTCCAGAAGCTTCTCGTCCTGATGGGTGTAGTAGCTAAGATGTGGATTGGGCGTCGTGTTCACCACAGAGTTGGAAGTCGTCGATGGGTACACAGGCTGTTGGATCTTGTACGGCAGGCTTTCCGGTCTCTGTCGCTTCTGAGTCGAGTCCGTCTGATCGTAATCGAACCGATGATCGTTGTAGCTAGGGATCTTAACGTCCGGATAGCTGTTGTACGGGAGATTCTGTTGTTGCTGTTGCTCGAACTGTTGCCTCTGATTGCCACGTTTCGAGTAATCCGCCGCTTCGAAGCTGTACTGGTAGATCGGTTTCGGTTTGTCCTGCCTGTAGTAAGTCTGCGGCCTAGGCGTGGTGTAATAAGGCTGCTGTGCAGGACGGCCGGATATGGTCTGATAGTAAAGAGACGCGCGATCTGGCAGCATTCGTTGACCCTGAGTCCTGCTGGAACCGCTCTCGTACCTCGACGAGGATCGCGTGACCGTCGAATCGCTGTATCGAACTGGTTCGGAATTTTTCACCACCGAGTCGACGTACTTAACGCTGTAGTCCTTCGAGGTCTCTTGCGACGGAACAGTCTCTACGTTGTAGTACTGTTTTTTCTTGTCCACCGGACGCGGTTGGGTCACAGTCTCGTAGAAAGGCGTCTCCGTCGTGGTCTTGTAGTAAATCGACGGATCGGCTGTGGTGATCGTAGATTCACCGTTCGATTCTTCGTAAAAGTAATAGGATGCCTGACTGGGCGATCGTTCCGGATTACCCGTAGTGACGATACTTCTTATCGAGGCTGGTGTCACTTCCACGGGCTTCTCCAAAGTGGATTGCGTCGACGAGGCGTAATAGCTCACTATAGGGATCGTTTTGCTGGTCACCAGGCCCGACCAGACTTGATTCTTCTCTTGAACGTTCTCCTGGTTGTTCACCCGGTTTTCTACGATCGGTCCTAGGCTGTAGAAGTCGGGGTTATCCAGAGTCGTCGTCTTGTCCGGCACCGGTGTCGTGACCTGCGTGTACGGAACAGTCTTGACGTGGCTGGGCACGGAAGTACCGGTTGCGTTCTTCAGCGTCGTTCGACGGTACATTTTCGTGTTGTTCGATGCATTGACGGACGACGTTCTTGACTTGGTGACTGGCACAGTGGTGGTACTTTTGTATCGCTTGGTGGCGAGTTTCCTTGGCGGTAGATAGGTTGGTCTGGGTCTTGGCAAGGGGGTGGTTCCAGGGCGGCTGGAGTACTTCTTGGCGGTGGTCTTCTTGTCCTCCAGAGGGGAGAAGAAGTCTGGCGGGGGCGGGAGGATGATACCTGGGACCAGGGGACCAGGTGGTACCGCGGTGCTGTTGTCCTGCGGATATTGGAAACTGTACGGCGGCGGGTAGTAGATAGATTGATCCTCCTCGTCGTAATCCGATTGATTGCTGGGCGGTGGTAGAAAGACCGCACCTGGTGGTATGGCGTGATAGAATGGCGGAAGACTGCCCGGTAGAGGATCGGACTTAGCTCCCTTGTCCTTGGAAGTGACATTCCCCGAATCTTCGTTGGGCATTACGAACGTTCCGTTCGATATGATGGCAAAGAGCGGGCCATCTTCCGATAGCAGTCCTTTCGTGAGCAACGGGTCCTTCCTGTAATCGACGGTTCCGTTCCCGATCTCCTTGGTCCCGTTTGGTCCGATGATCTGTATGGGTCCGTTCTCTGTGAGCTGTACCGGAAACGGCGGCGGTACCTTTGGCCTGGACGGGATCTTGACCTGTCTTCTGGGCGCTTTGTAGTTGTCGATCGGTGGCCAGGTCGTCTCGCTGTCACCGCTGCCTTGCGTGGTCTCGTGGCCAGGAAATTTCCCGCCCCTCAGTACCAGCACGTGGTTCTCAGCCAGCCAGATCTCGTCCTCGTCGAGGCCACCCAGGTTGTCGGCGGTATCCTTCGGTACCTCGGGATTGCCCGTGTAACTGATGATCCCCGGTCGTTTCGGTCTGTTCGGGTAGATCTCGTTCTGTATGAGGCCGTACTTTCCCTCCTTCACTTGCTGCGAGAGCGTCTTCTTTTCGTCGTCCTCGTCCTTGCGGCCAGGCTTGGACTCTCTGCCATTTCCGGCGGACGACAGGGCAATCCCGTCGTCCCAGAGCTCTTCGTACGGCTGTTGCTTCGAGCTGGCTCTCAGGTGCCCTCCAATTAGCCGGTGCGACACTTTCCTTCCGGGTTCTGTGGTTATCTCGTTGTTGCTGCTGGTCGATGACTTGAAATTCCGACTCGGCGGCGTGTGCGGCCAACCTGGCCGATGACTAGATTCCTCGACGCCGACGTGCCGCCTTTCCCTCCACGAAGACGACGCGACCAGCGACGCGCAGGTCGCTAATAGCGCCGCGCCTAACAGGAGCTTGCGTGGGTCGAATCCTTTTCGCATCATCTGAAACCAAGATAAGAATAGCTTTCATTGTTTGGAACGAACCATATAATTACTAGAATATTCCTCGACAAGTTGGGTTTATTTTTTCAAATTTCACGCATAGCTGATCGGGGCACGTCTCCGGTGAAAGATTGACGCGTCAATTTGCCTCAACGATTTAACGAGATCATCGTCGTCGCCTAACGTGTACTAGGAATAGATCATAACCATAATCACAGGAATTACGTTCACGGTCAGTATACATTGTAGGGTAATTCTGATAATACCATTCAATTACGCGATCACGCTATTCATCTTTCGAGATAGTTCTTCGAGCTCGTCGGAAGACACGCTCCTGTCGAGTGTAAAGAAAGTATAAGTTTTATTTGTACTCCGCGGATGCGTTTCCGTTCCACGATGTAACTTTGCTTTCCCCATTCAGAGGCCAGCTTTTTCTCGAGCATCGCGCGGAAGAAGAACCCGTAAAATTGTTTCATTTTTCGTAGAATTTCGCGTCTATGGAAAAATCGTAACGCAAGTGGTTGATGCCCGTTACATTATTAGAACTTCTGTATTACGCAAATTAGAAGAAAGTGTGCCTGTCGTACCAGAGTAATTGCATAATTGCGCAAAGGCGAGGTGTAGCCACAGACTGCTTTCGAGCGTATCCGATAACCCAGGAAATCAATTATTAATTCATGAGATATTACAAGATATTTCAATCTATAAATTCAGTCCGATCGAAATATTAATTTAAACGAGCCGAACGAACGATCGATCGATCGGAGTTCCAACGAGTTATCGACAGAGGTTGAGCGAATTCTTAATAACCGAGTTTAGACATCCAGTTACGTTTAGATAAGCAGAGTTCTAGCCCGAGTTAGCTAAGCGTGTATTGAGAAACTCCATTGATGACGCGATAGGGGAAACTTCGATCGGAATTTACGAATTTCCGCGAATTCGCCAATTCCATTGACTCGGATCGCAATAATACGAGAATGCGGGACCGGAGGGGACCACGCCTTTCCCTCGCGAACAGTCGGTGAACGGTCGACAAACATTCACGGGTCACTGGAGTACCAAGCGACTCGAAGTAATGACTTGCAACCGAGCAACAAACTCTTGAGCCCGCGTTTCTGCATTTGCTTCGGCCGAGAATTACATCGCCGCGTCCGTCTCGCGGAAGTAATCGTGTCTCGAATAACGAGCCAACGTGTTTCCGCCATGAATCCGAATTTGTGGTAACTTCAACGGGAACACTATTGGAGGGAAGGACAGTTTACACGATACCAGTCAAGGGTTCGATTATATTTGTATTGCCGCGAATCATCGAACCAATTTCGTCCATTGAGTTCACTTTTGAAACGAGTGCAATCACCGTTCGTTTTCCCCGTGGTCGGTCCGTCGGAAACGTCTTTTTAAACTACCAAACACATTGATAACACGCTGCGCGGACAAAAATGGTACCTTCCTCCCCGTGTCCGTAGCGGTCGGCTAGTCGTACGATAATCGTTCGCCAGGGTTTCTCGTTCGTCGTCGAATAGCTATAATCGAGCAAACGGCACGCAATAACGCGATTCTTCCGAGTGACTTCGAAGGATCTTCAACTCTTCGATACAGGCGATCGGTTCGTCCATGTAGTTCGCACCAGTGTGGCCGATCTCGCCTCACCAGCGGGCTTTTAACGCGCAAGATGCAACGTGACCGAATCGTGAAATTCCTTCGCGCAGATATCGGTACGAGTTGCTCGTTTAATCGCGCTTACGTCTGCCCTAATCATCCTCCACGCCGGATTATTGATAATGTTTAATCTAATCCGGCTCACGGAATCCCGAGCGCCAGTCCACTTGGCCGAGGAAGTCTTCCCACGTGTTTCACTTTCTCCCGTGCTTCTAGCAATGACTTTGAACGATCATCCGATGCAACAATTCGAAATTCATTTGCGTCCTGCAAATATTTGAATATCAGATAAAAAAAATTGTCCACCCTTTCTGAAGCAACCCTGTAGTCATTCCCTGATTAAAATTAAAATTTCTCCACAGTCCGATGCAACTAGTTGTGCAGGTGGCCCTAGGGGTTCGTCAACAAATTGGCGAATCGGGGCAGAGTCCAACACGAGTTGAGTCGAATTGTGTCGAAGAGTCCCGAAACAGCCAAATCCATCGCGTGCCCGACACTTGGAATCCGACCATCGACTCGCTCGCGTCTATTGTTTACTCTCCGCTCGTAGTTTGCATCGGTTGGTTGCAACGTTTGCCCGCGTACGGTCGCGACGGTTTTTTCACGAGATCGCGCCTCGACGGCCGGCGTCTCAGCTCGCAGACGCTCTTGCCGCGACGGACGTTCATTAGTGAACTAGTGGAACGTGTCATAGCAGGGCGAAGCTGACCATCGGCCGCTCGCGCCGGCACCGTACACGTGACTGGCCGGTTTTCATCACCTTTCTCGGTGCAACGGGGCCCCTCAAGGACGCTCGTTCGGAAAGGTGGAGCCATTTCCAAGCGACACGCTCTCGGTCCCGGTCTGGAAAGGAGGAAGTCGTCGGCATGGCTGAGATTCGTACGATTAAAACGATCGCGGCTGCGCCTTTCTTTCATCGTCGTCTTTGTCGATCGATCGCCGCAGATTGTTTTTGCGCGGAGTAGAGAACTTTTGTGTCGTACAAGCGTGTCGACAGGCCACCGATGCGTGAGAGCCAAGATCGAACTCGTAGAAAGAAAAGAAACCGATCGGTGTACGATGAAAGAAAGTCATGAATTACGCATTGCACAGATCGCGGAGCATTTACATTACAAAATGTGTTGGCATTCGTAACCGTGTGATCTAAGCGGTTTAATTCGCCGTAAAGTATTCGATGAAGGTTCGTGATAAAGAGTTCGACTCTTTAGATTCCGAGCAGAGTATCGGGACAGCTAATCAGCTGATTTATTAACAGTTATACAACGAGCAGACCAGTTGTCGTCGAATGACGTTAGTCGAGAGTAAATAGCCCAAGCTGTGCGTTTGTCTGGGATCATAATTATGCTGGTAAACAGACGTAGGTAGGCTGGTGTGGTAGGGAGACTAGTCTGAAGAATCTTCGTTGCAGTCGCGACTCTGTGAATTGCACTCTAATTGTGAACAAACCAAAGAGCTGTAGTGTTAGGAGGAAAACATTTTGATAAATAGTAGTCACGTTCTAGAGTTAGAAAATGAAACATTAGAATATTGAATTATTTGAGGAGTCCTAGTGTTAGTACGAGTTCATGCAAGGTGGAACTCTCACGACGAAAAACGATGTTGAAACGAGAGCTTTCACTTTCTTGTCGTCGTATTGTCGTGCTTTTTACTTGATATGGAGTTTGAATAACAAGGAGCAAACTAGGCCCGAATTCCTTCCTGGTAATAAATAAAGTCTTTCGCCATGTCGTAGCCCTTAACGAGGTAATGCATCGAGAAGAAATGGATCGGAACCTAATTTTTACACTCACGAAACTTGAAGCTCTTTTCCCCCCAACGTGTATCTATTCTTTCTTTTTTGATTTGATGTAACACCTGTTGCTGTTGCCTAATATATCTCTGAATAATTAAGTTTTATGTTTTTGTTTAATGGTATTAATGATACGAGCATGCTTGCTGGTAATTTCACCTACCCTGTTAGTGTTTTTTGCGACTCTACGCAGGAATTTAAACGATCGTCACTTCCTGGTTCATATTAACTACTACCACAATTTGCGATTAACCTCGTATTGATATATTCTATATAGTGCCACTCATTAATTCTATTTTATCGAAGGGTTTTCCTGCTAATAACAATTATAATAACTCTCTTGGTACATATGTTAACAATAATTTTCTTAATCGTCTTATGCCTGCATTACACCGCATAAAATTTATTATATACAGGCGATTAAATCCCATCGTGATTTAACCGAACAGAATTTGCATATAAACGATTCTTAATAAGTCAAAGCGGTGGAATAAAGTTTGCATCTTGTCGTTCCAGTTTTTATTGATCGAAGAACAGAGAACCCGTACGATCGTTCGCGATTATAGCAAAATATTTAAATTGTATTCGCCGTTTGAGGAGCGGTTCCAGCTCTATTTGGAACGCGCGCCATTATGGTACCATTTTACTAACCGAGACTCGAGCCTTTCGCTCGGTGCTCTATTTCCGTACTTTCAAAGGGCAATATGCTTCGGACAGATTGGATGAAATATTGCAAAATGGACGAACGTTCGGTTTTGCGCGTTCCGCAAGACAGAATGTCGATTTTTCGTGATGTAAGAAGAACGGTCCCAGCGGCGTGACAGGTGCCGTTACGCTACCGTTGCTACTAGACTTGCCATAATATCGTTTCTCGAAGCTAGATTTTCTGGTCCCGATCGTAGATCAAATCAAATTCGTTCAAAGTAGCTCGAGAAAAAGTCGCGTAGTTGCTCCCAATAAATGCACAATTGTAACACAACCATCATTGTCGTAATGGTAATGGTTGTGTGGTTTTAGAAAACATCCTATTTGATTTTCTGCGGTTTCATCAGATCATAAATTTTATGGGTGCATTCTATTGTAAAAATAAGATTCTCGAGTAGAAATCTTCTCGATAGAGTTTCGTTGCAACTTTGACAAAGATTTATCCGCAAGTATGTAAATATCTGCTCCAAACTGGTACGAAATGGGGCAGGTAGAGTGGGCCTAGAGGCATAAAAGCGACAAAGCTAATCGTCCGTTTCGAAACATGCACGTGAAACATAGCTGAGAATAACTGTCTCATCAAGACCGAACGATATAGTGAATGGACGCGAATTAAAACGCGCAGCGCGCGCGCGGCGAACTATAAAAGACGCTCTAAATTGATCATTACGCGGAGCCATTAAGCGGGCGTTAAATTAAATACGCTTTAAACTTGAATCGGCGGCAGCGGTAATAAAATTGGTGTCGCTAAACAGACAGCAAACATCGTTGCTCGATGTTCTTTCTTTAGTTAATCGTTCTTTGGCGCGCGGTGCAGCGGCCTTGAGCGCAGGTCGTCAAAAGCGCCTCAAACGTGCAACAAAATGGCATTGAGCTGGTAGGGACCGTATCCGAGGTGGTGAAAGGCTTGGACGGTCCAGAAGCTGCGCCAACGATCGTTCCAACGTCGATTTGTTGGCTGGAATATTGGTCGTTCGGTCAGTTTCAGCGAATCTTTCTTACGCAATGCAGGCCGAGTTGCTCGGAGATTTCGGGGAAACAAGGCGACACGTACCTATATTTGGCTCTATCGTTCGAACGCGAGAGCTATTCATAAGTTGGACAGTTTCACCGACTAATCAGAGCTGATCAAAGCGCTCGAATATTAGGAATATCGTAGCAAAGTGGTAAAGTTTGGTTTCGTTGTTACCACGAGTCTCTTTCCACACACGCGACGGTTTACCTCACGTAAGACTCGAGTATCCACCCGTTATCCAATTCAGTTTACGCTTTCAGCTACTTTCCTTTTTGTTTCGCGTTGTGCTCGCTGAGCAGCATTAATTCCTTAACGCCGTGTTAATGCCTGCGAACAACTTTCGGTGCGTCACACGTTTAGGTATGCTTCCTGTTATGACAGCGACCGTGTTTTCTGTTGTTGGTCAGAATTTGCCATTGCAAATGCCCATTGTTTTTCAGTTATTCCGTCCAATAATATTTTAATCGTTACTGGCGCGTGTGGGAATGTCAACAGGCATTCATTTCAATCTTCGAATTCTCGATAAGGTAACTCACGAAGGTAATTCAAGAGTACTTCGTACTTTGTTTCTGATTATTTTCCCCTTCTTTAAACACCAAGATATATATAACTTGCGACACAGGTAACAACGGTTATCTTTCGAGGTTCATACTTTACCGGAGGAAACTTATTTCCGACCTGGTTCCGAAGAGACGAGATCTTATCGCACGAAATTTTCGACTATTTTCAAATTTTCTCCGCGCCGCGTAATTTGTAGCCTCGTGTTTACGTAACGGGACGGTGAAAGCTGCGACCAGCACGGAGTTCGGCTTATCTTTGTCGCGACGTCTAAAAGTATGAAGCCGGTTATCTATTTCCTCCGTGCGGAGGTTCACACGGACGCTTCGAGCTCGAAAAACGTGTCACGGCGAACGTTTGCGGTTATCAAACACCGTGTCGGGGATAGAATTTGCTGGCGTTTCCGTTCGGGCCACGACGGTCACCGGTGACCATCGCTGCTTTTTTTAGAATGCTTATCAGAAATAAACACCAATGCTTTCAAACTTTCGAATAACATTGACGTCATTAAAAAATTCACTCAGCTCTGGTGCGAAGTCCAAGATAGAAAAAATGGCGCGCAGTTTATTTAGTCCGTCAAGTTCATCGGTTTCACCCTGAAATTTGTTTATCTCGAGCGCTTCAAGGCGCCTCGAGTCGATTTTGGCACCGTGCCGCGTTAATTGGCCTTTGAGCACACCCAACGATCAACGATTCCGCGCGGATCGATGCAGATCCGCGTGTTTATCGGCGACGAGGCTCGCCGCGGCGTCGAACTGACAGGGACGAGTAGCAACGACCATAGTGGAACGCCTTGGCATTGACCGGCTTGCTCTGCAAGGCAACTTCGCTTGCATAATATGCTCGTCTCGTTCATCCCGAGACTCTGCTGGATTATTCGCTACTCCTCTCGACGACCGCAGCTCCTTTAACGGTGGTATTACGTGCAAGAACGCGACGCATTTTGTTGTTTCTTTTTTACCGAGAAAAAAATTATTTTCGAACGATTTGGAAACGATCGTCGGCGCGAATAGCATAGTTCCCCGAACGTGGATGTAATTTTATCACAAATACACATTGTGCAGACGTTATCTGAACGCGTATGGTGTATGCACGCGGCTGGTACCGGTTTACGTTTTTGTCGCGTTAAAGCTGTACCGGTCGGACAAGGTTAACGGCCCAATTTTTCCCCCCATCGCGAACAGATCGTCATCCTTCGTTCAAATTTTTACCACGGACTTATTGTCGCAAACAAACGACAAAATTTCGTCCCCAGTGGCAAGGATACGCCGGATCTCTATCGCCTGAAATTATTTCACGGATCTCCGGTTCGAATCGCGACGCGGTCGAAGCGTTAAGAACTCAGAAAACCCGTAAATCTCGGACGGCGGGGTAATTTGTACAATAAATACGTATCCGCTAATTTCATCAGCACGTCAGCGAACGATTTTCCGTTCCTGTTCGCTCACCCGTTCGCCTTCGCTCTAAAGCGTGGCTTCGCGTCGAGTATAGAACGACCGTCGATCATTTATTTTAAGAAAGAACGGATTCGAAGGATGACCTTACGTCCGCGACACCTGAAATAGACGTCCCAATTGAAATGTCCATGTTAGGCAGAAATCGATCCCGAGGCTTCTAGTCTCTTCCAATTAACCTCCATCTTCCAATTAGTCGGCGACTACTGCGAATATTAACATTTAATAAACCTTGTTTACACCAAGGACTCCCAATAGCCTACTAAAACAGTTTCTTAACGATTGTTCACGATTTCTGAAATCGT